GATACTGGCATTCTCAGTACATGTCCTGCGAATCTAAGCCTTCTCTTATTAACAGATTCTTGCAGGTCCCTTTGGCCTGTCCTTCGCAAAACTTCTTCATTTCTCATATGATCTCTATATGATATTTTTAAGATTTTTCTCAAACATTTCCGATGGAATACATTGACTTTATTCTCCATAGCTGCTGTTCTTCTCCAGGTTTTGCCAGCATACAAGGCTGTAGGTATTACAATGGCGGAGTATAATTTGATTTTAGTCTCTTTTCTGATGGTGCTCGAGTTCCAAATAGGTCGAAGCCTATTGAACACACCTATAGCTCTATTAAGGCTTGCTTGAACATCAATGTCTGATTCTCTGTTAGCCGCTATCTTACTACCCAAATACACAAAATCTTGTACATCTTCAATCTCTGATCCTTCAATCGTTACTGCCCTGTCCAGATTGTGTCTGACTGTCATGTTCTTAGTTTTCGTAGCATTTATTCTAAGCCCAACTTCCTTACCAAGCTCATGTAAATTCCTTGTCATATCTTGGATGTTCTGTCTATCTTTCCCAATTAAAGCGATGTCATCCGCAAAGTCCAAATCAGTTAAAGTTCCATCACCCCACATTATCCCATCACCAACATTCATCGCTTTTTTCATGACAAAATCTACCACCAAAAGAAAGAAAAAGGGAGATAACACACAACCTTGTCTCACTCCACTGTATACATTAAAGTACTCCGTGGTCCCAATTTTAGTTTTTACACAACTACTGGAGTTTTCATAATAACTTTTGAATATGTTTATAAATTTTTCTGGTACACCATATAGTCCCACAATTTTCATGAGTCTCTAAACCTGGATTTTAGCGTTATTATCCTCCTGACTTACTGGGGGTGGCATAAAAAAAAAAGGATAACGTAATCCTTAAATCGTAATCATTTAAAAATATTAAAGACTTCCCAACTAATAACAAACATTAAGTATTTAAAATTGAAAAAGTTTGTTTTTTGTTAGCTCTGCCCACCATAGCTATCGAAAACAAATTTTTACCGTTATAAGCCTTCAGAATTATACTGAGCCACTCAGAAGCCATTAAAAAGTAATTAAATAATTGGTTCTAGAACTAAGGAGTCCACAAAACATATACTAGAACATATCTTGCCAACAGTCCTTAAAATCTACATTAATGGAATTTTAAAAGAGCTATACTTTTTTAAGGTTACGAGTGCATTCAAAAAAGGCCTGTCATAATCTGGTGGTGAGGGCGCTCGACTCACAATCTGTGGGTTGCGGGATTAAAACCCGTAGCTATGAGGGCGTTTTAATATGACTAACTGCATTCTCTCTAGTCTATAACTTGAAAAGTAAGGACGACTAGCGCAGATAGCCCTCGAGTAACATGGCGCAAAAATTCAAGAAATAAAATATACAATTTCATGCACAGTTTTAAGAACTTTAAATTTTTGTTCATTTTACTAATTTCTTCTGGTGGGACAGCAGTAACTCTACGAACTTAAATTGCTAAAATCCGGGGTCCAATTTCATGCGGTGGACACAACAAATAGCTCAATGTGGCTTTGATCTAAAATAAGCATTTTACTAATATGTAAAATTTTTAAATCAATATGTTTTATTTATTTTTCAAAAATTAAAATGTTTGCATAGGTATTAGCTTAAGCATTAATTTATATTTATACTTACAATGATATGCAACAACATATTTTACGAGATATCTTGTCATTCTAAAAACCAACATTTGTTTATGTCGTACCATTGAAATTTTATCATATGGGTAATAGTGTAACTTAAAATATTTGGCGGAAGAGCATATCGTATATGCAGAGGACTCTCAGTTACGCATGCGCATTGCATGAGCGTTGTGATAATGGATGGCATAGTATCGAATAAGGTACACTCTTTTTCGAAAACTTTTCATTGTTTTTGAAATGTTTAGTCGAGTTTTACTTTAGTTTCTTGTTTTGTTTTGTTTTTCAGGACCAGTATTATGAAAGCCAACCACGTACCTTGTAAGTATTGTTCACAATTCTCAGAGTTCGTGAATATTTGGTAAACCAAAAAGTAGGCCTAATGTTATTTTTTCTCATATTTTCATAGAATCGTAGATTCGTACCCCTTTACGTTAGGTCTTTCAAATTTTCCAAGTGTGATTTCAACGTGTCTCTTTCTTTTTGAAACATTTTTAGGTACGTAGGAAACCTTGATCCATCGGTCACAGAAGAGTTGATTCTAGCTTTGTTTGGACAGATTGGACCTGTTAAAGGCTGTAAAATAATTTATGAGGTAAGTTAAAAGATATGTACAAGTGTTGAAATGAAGGGGGAAGAAAAAGTTAATGGAGAATGACACATGATGACACAGTGTGGTGACTATACTATATCAATATATGTGATGCGTCATGTACTTGACGCAAACATTACTAAAAATAATATTCGTTAATCTTTAGTAGTACTAGTACCTTACGAGATTAAATATGACACCACTTATTACATTTAGTCTAACGTAACATGAAATTGATTCATCTGATATTAGAAATGTTACGGATACCTTACCATTTTCTTTAATTGTAAACTGGTAAAGCATAAATTTCAATTTTTACGAAGTTCTTCATAAACATTATTTCAGTGCTACTTTGTTTAAAATTATCGTTATTTTTCAGAGTAATTCTATATCTAGTAGCTTATGATTGAAAGCAAAAAATAACATATGTCAACTACACTACATCGATCATATTCAGCGCCAATGATATCTTTTGCTCAATATCAAGGCCCAGCAACCCAAATAGAATACAACAGACACATTAATGGTCTAGGCACTATTTATCTCACCAGTATTTCATGAACAACCAATGGTATGATGGAACTAGATTAAGTAAGTGAATTGTAACTATTGCCAGTTTTATTTAAATCATTTACAATAATTTAATGTTCTTTGATATAATATTAGGCTTAGCAAAAAAAGTTGAACTGTTATATTTATAATTCACATCACGTTCACTTTAACAGTGTTTTAGAAGCCTGTAACTACTTATTTAAACTATGTCTAATATTGTTCATTATCATTTACCCATCTTGCTTTCTTAATGTTGCTGTTGGCAAAGTTTGTTTACAATAATAACGAATGCATAGCTTATTATTCTTGTAAGCCCAATATATCATACTCAGTTATATGTTATTTTCTTTGCCACATTAAGTGTGAGTTTCACCAAGTGTTACCTTCAGACATTAAACCTATAATTATATTTATGAACTTGCTGTGAAAGGGTTGTAAATTGTCACATAAAAATCAGTAGAGCTGTTGAATAGTAATTTGGAGTGTTTCATTACACCTTGGATGTGCATAAATCATTGTTTATCTGATAGAAACCATAGGAATCAGAAGCTAGCATTTAAATTTTGATATTAATATTATGGTTATGTATACCTCAGAGTTCTTTGGATAGAGTAAAGTAAATGTAAAAAAAAAAACGTTTTAGAGGAAATGTTTGCAACTTAAAGGTGCTATTTTTATTTAAAATTTTCGTGTGTTCATTTGAACTGCAGATTTTTTTAAAGACCGAAAAGAAATGTGTTGGATTAAGTTTTATTTGTAATGTTAGTGTATATAATATACATATATGTTATATATCTTGCATTCTAATGGAATAAGTATCAAGTTAGTAAAATTTGTGGATGACATTAAAATCTTATTTATTTCTAGCTTTATTGAGGTTATTGAAGTACTAAAGAATGATTGGGATCAAATGGTTAGCAGAGCTGGGCAATTAGTGATATTTGCTACCCCTTATAAGAAAAACAAATTGTTGTGTACCCCCTTCATAACCTTTTTAGGCACTGCATTATTTTAATATCTTTCTATTTTAATTCACATTGTTTTGTCTATTTTTAAGTAATTTTAAATTACCCTTTGTTTCATATTGTAAGGTTGTTCATTTGCTGGTGGGTTCTTTTAAAATCTGATGAAAATAATTAAAAGGCCAGTCCATTTAATAATAATAAATTAGTTTATTTTTTCCTCAACATTTTAACAAGCTAGAACACTTTTATGCCACTCTTAAGAGCTATGCTAACCATACTACACTAAAGTTACTTGTGCAGAAATGAATAAAAACCCTATAACACAATCGCTTTTGAAAGGTGGACCTTTCTTCTTCAGGGGCAAACTGCTTGTACAGAATAACTCAGTATGTATAATAGCTAACACAGATCCAGATAGTTTATTGAAAAAGAAAAATTTGGACTGAAGTAAAAACACTAACTGATTCACTGTGTCAGCTAGTAAAAACTTTGAACTTTGTATTAATTAGATATCCTTGAATTTACTAGAAAATTTTACATGAAATTTTTAGACATTGCTAAGTGTTCTCGGCTTATCTTATCAAACTTTTCTTTCTTAAAATCACCATTACAATGGTGATTGCTTCCTCTAGCTAACAAAAAAATTACAGCATTAAAAATTTAGCTTACCCTCTGAATTGTGAAAACCCTTGAACAATTCTTATACAAAAATAAAACACTACACTAAACAGTCCATTCGTTAAGTCTTTTCTTGGTGGTTTTCTCTTCTGAAACCCATGGCATAACACACGAGATAGCATTTTGTCTCTTGTTGTCACTGGTCGTTCCATTGAGGAAGAGTTTGTCCTGGGTAGGTGGTTGAGTGAGTCTTTTGGTGACTTAATCCTCTGGAAGTATTTTTGACAAACTATGGGCTTCTTAGTAGGTTGAATTTCCGCTGACAAGTTCTTTTCCCAGGAGTTACCCAGTTTGTCATTCTGTCACCAATGGCTTGAATCACTTACCATTCTGGATTCTGTAAATGATATCATTGATTTTTTTTTGGAGCAGAATATGTCCCTCATCACACCTGTTTAACTATGGAGTTCATCCCTTCTTGCAGTGGGGATTGTACAGCCATACCATGCTACCTCAGCGGAATCCAGTACTGTATAATCAGAATAAAAATCATAGCATTATGGTGGGTTCTTTTAAAATCTGATGAAAATAAATAAAAGGCCAGTCCATTTAACAATAATAAATTAGTTTATTTTTCCTAAACAGTTTCATAAGCTAGAAAATATGATGTAGACAAGCTTCCTACTGTAATGTTAAGTTCCATTTTATGTCATTTGCTGTACCCATCAGTCCATTTTCTTTTTCATCTCTCAAAGCAATTTCCCATCTTTCAGTAACAAATTGAATCAAACAGCTGTTGCTGTAGAACCAATGTCAATCAGCATACTACAAGGTTTTCCACCAAGAAGCCCATAGATGACTTTTCTCTATAATGAATTTCTTTTCTCGTTTGGGGTAGATGAAATATCTCCAGCTGAGCTTTGCTTGTCTCTTTTTGATATCGGGTGAGCTCTTTGCTGTTCCTTTAATCTGACTGGGCTCTGAGATACATCCTTAGGGTATTGTCTTCTTGGCTTAATAATAGATGCTGCTTCCTTGTAGTTATGAGCTATAATTGCGTTATTTGCTACAGTTATAACAGTTATCTATTTCTGTTATCCTTTGGGAGGAGTTCTTTCATACAGTCCTTTTCCTGCAGTTCGTGGCAATGTGTGCCTTTAAGTTGCATTTGAAAGATCTGTTGTCTTGTAGTTTATTTACTGTTCTGTTTAACTAGTTGTCTATCTAATACTTTCAGTTTTGTACACTATCATTAAAGGGGAGTTGATGTTTCAATGCTACACGATATAATATTCCTGTAACTTCTAGAAGGTGACATTAGTAACTTATCTGTAATTTTAATGGATTCAAGTTCTTTTGCAAGCTTCATTTAAAGATGTATACCTACTTTGCTTCAGCCTGATGCATATATCCTCATTTGCTATGGTTTCTACAAATTGGTCATTTGCCAATGAATCTATCACTTCACAAGGAGCATTCAAGTAAGATAATTGGGCAAGGTTATCATAGTCTTCTGCATGTTCATGTAAGGTGTTTTTTTTCTGTGCACCCTGTTCCTTAACTTTGCTTTGGTCACTTCTTTCTGGTTTAACACTCCAAACCTGTAGTACAAGGCAGCTGTCAAAGCTTGGTAGTTATAATTCTCAGCTGGAATGTTATTTAATGTCATTAAAGTTGGTTGTTTTAACTGGGCAGCAAAATGAATAGCTTGTTGTTTATTATTCCATCCACTCACTCTGGAAATGATTTTGAATTGAGCCTAGTATGCCTCCCATGATATTTTTCCATTATAGTTTGTTGATTTTTTGATTGGCTGATGTTAAGCTGGAACTTGATTTGGTAGTGTCATGGTTGGAGTAGGCCATGAAGGTCCTTCAGTAATAGTTAGCACAGCAGTAGTGGTAGTAGGTATAGACAAATAAATTCTTCAGTTTCATATTTTGTAGCAGATGGTGTTTTAGGTTGAACCTCTTGAACCAATGCAGAAAGAGGTGTGGCTGGTTTAAACTTGGCATTTAATAATTATTTTTACAGATATTTTACTATTTCACTGATGTTATTTTCTACCTCATTGATATCCTTTTTATTTTATCAATTTTGTCAAAATAGCTTTACCTCATTGATGTTTTTTTGTACTTCAATTTCTTCATACTTGTTATTGTAATATTGCTGTACATCCCCTACAGTTTTATCAGTCTTGTCTTCAATCCAAAATTTGTTTTTATAATTATTTTAAATATTACATCTCTTTCTTTTTAACACTTTTCTTAAATTCCTGTCTTTCATCTTGATCATCATCTAATTTTCTGTCTCCTACTTCTTTTTGTTCTTTAATAAGTGTTTTGTTTCTTTGTTTTCAGGTAATGATAAATTAATTAATTTTTTCCTTAACATTTCTTACAAGCTTGAATACTTTTGTAATTTGTATACTATGTTTACAGCCTTGCTTACTGTATGATAGTAGTGTAAAAATAACCTTCCTTGTACAAGAAATGAATAAAACCCTATCATTCGAGCACTTTTGAAAGGTGGACCTTTCTTCTGCTCCTGGTTATAGGATTTTTATTCATTTCTATCAAGACTTCTTGAACCCACATGTTTTTCTAACATCATAAACTTGCTTGTTCAAGGTAATTCTGTATGTGCAAAAGCTAACACAGATTCAAATATTTCATAAAAAAAGGACTAGAAGCAACTGTGAACTTTATATTTATAATATGCCCTCGAATTTACTAGGAAACTTGATGTTATGGTTTTAGACCTGTTGCATCCCAGTGACACAGCGGCATGTATGTGGACTTGCAATGCTAGAATCCGGGTTTCGATACTCATGGTGGGCAGAGCACAGATAGTTTGTTATGTAGCTTT